CCGTCAATTAGGAGAGCTCTGGCGCTTGTTTAAACATTGGTCGAATTTTTGTACTATAATTTTGTATTTTTGTAATATAATGAGTTAATTTCTCATTTGCTTATATTTTAAACAGTAAATAATATTTGAATTATACTTTAATCACAAAAGAAATGATGATTAAATTAATAATTAATTAATTAATTAATTACTAATTTTCGACATATTTTGAAAATAATTGTTGTTTAAACAATTTTAGAATATTTAAATAAATTTGTTTTTGATCTTTGATAAACAGTATATAAGTTTATGCACTTACCTTTGATACAATAAAAAAATAAAGTTGATAATTAAAGGAAGTTTAAAGATAAGTAATTATCGGACTGTTGAAAGACCAATAATTATTAACATATTTGAAAATACGCTAATTGTTTTTTTTTTAAAATCGCGAGACATCGATTTAAAAAAATCGTCAAAATCGGACCTCTAGAAGCTGAGATATTAAAAATTTTTAAGCGCGTCGCGGTTTTGAACTCGCCGATTCAATTTCGAGCAGGTCGAAGCGGTCGCGCTCTCTGCTTCCCCCACCACCACCACTCGTACGATTTTATTGAATTTTTCGCTTGCATAAATAACTTTAAACGCGTTTTAAAGTAGGTTGCCAATGAAGAAAAGTATTGCAAATGCCAAAGGTATTATTCGAAAAATTAGCCCGGTTGTCCCAGTACATCTAGTGTAAATGACGGTTAACTTTGATCGGCTATAACTACATAACTAATTGACCAATCGATCTGTTTTTTTTTTTAAAGAAGCGTTTTTCCAATAACTTTTAAAACCTGCTTTAAAAAATTAGATTTGATTGATTATTCACAAAGTTATTCTAATTGTTTATAAGTACAAAAATTCGACCAATGTTTAAACAAGCGCGAGAGCTCTCCTAATTGACGGATTCGAATTTTTCAAAAAGCGTTTGAAAGCGTGAGAGCCCTTCGACATGTGATTATATTTTCAAATATCTAAGGGCCTTGGTTTTTGCTGTGCAAAATTTTGAAAATTTGCAATTTTTTTTCAAAATCTGGATTGCAAAATTATTATGCAAAATCTATAGAACCGATTTTGATGAAATTTGTTGTGATAGTTCTACATAACATGAACTTTTCTTGAGCCAAGTATGAAGGTCCTATACCCAACTTAAAGACCCCAAAAAAAAAATTCCCTAAAAAGTAATGTTTTTAACCCCATTTTTGGCGTTTTTTTCGATTTTTACAATAATAATCATGATTCATTCGATTTGTAACTAGTTATATTTTGTAAAATTTAATTACAAACATTTTTTCCTCTTCCATTTTCGCCTAAAATCAACTCTTGAAAAGATACATAATTAAATAGGAAGAAAAATATGACATTTTTCGAATTTTTTTAACATATTGTGCCGCCAAAAGTTAAGCCCACGTTTTTTT